ATGAATGCACCAACAACTTTTATAAGGCTTATGATCCACATGTTTGGGGAGTATTTATATGACTTCATAAAGATCTTCCTTAACAATATTCTTATCTTTAATAAGAATATGATCGAGCATAAACAACATTTGTGCAAAATGTTAGAGTTGTTATGCAAGTATAAGCTTTATGCTAAGAGGAATAAATGCGAGTTTACACAATCCAAACGCAAGTATCTAGGCTATATTATCTCTATTGAAGGAGTTAAGATTGATCTAGAAAAGGTTATTATCATGAAAGAATATCCAACTCTAATAAATGTTGTTGAGTTGAAGAGTTCCTTAGGAATGGCTGGTTATTACAAGTTTATCAAGTATTGTACTAATATTACTCTTCTCTTGACTCAGTTGCTTCATCAAAACACTCATTTTAAATGGGAGACTTTGCAAGACCAAAGCTTTCGAGTTTTGAAGGATGTTTTAACTCATGCTCTGATTTTATATATTGCGGATCTAAACAAACTATATACAATGGTTGTAGATACAAATGGCTATGCTGTAGGTGTCATTTTTATACAAAAAAATCTATAAGAAACCAAAGAGAATGACTTGAGAAATAATCCATGGGGTTAAAATATAAAGGAGAAGGGCCCATAAACAAGAATGTACCCCCTTTTCCAATCGGTCTTGGGATATTTGGGGTTAAGTGTTCTTGGGTTTAAATAATATTAGGTTGGGTGAAAGAGGATTTTAGTTAGTTGATTTAGGGGAATCATACCACATATTGATTTAGCTTAAGGGAATTGCATTATATATTAATTGATATTTAGTAGGTCCAATTTGCTCTAGCTGAGCTTGACCCGAAGGATAGGGTGTCAAGCTTTTGGGAGAGCTGCAACTTTTAACTTCCGTTCACGAAGGCATGAACTTACAAGGAAGTGTGATAGATTGTAAACAACCAAAGAGAACAACTTGAGAAATGATCTATAAGGTTCAAATATAAAGAAAAAGGGCCTATAAACAAGAGTGCACATTTTTTATCCAATCAGTTAAGGGTCTTGGGATATTTGGGATTAAGGATCCTTAGGTTTAAATAGTACTGGGCTGGATGGCTTATCGGGAAGTCCAAATTTAAGAGCTTACACAATCATCTTATTGCATATGAGAGCAAGATATTAAACCCAAGAGAGTAGCACTATACTACATATGGGTAAGAGCTTTTAAGAATTATTAATGCACTATATGTGTGATAGCATTATTTATTTGGTGCTGTGTTTATGGTGTTCAAGAACTATAAACCATTAGTGTTTCTACTCACTTAAGAGATTAACTCTTGCCATGCACAATAGATGATCAAACTCATGGAGTTTGGCAAAGTTTTGATTGAGCACAAGGCTGGACGTTTGAATGTCATGGCTAATGCTTTATCTTGTATATGCTCTACTTTTGTGGGAGAATTCCAAGAAAGGATTTGTCATGGTTTGACAAAAGTTGTGATAGAATTTGCTATTATGTTCAAGCAAGTTCAATAGCAAGAATCCAAAGTACAAGAGCTTAGTGTGTATATGGAACCACCTTTCTCATGCCAGAATGGCTTACTCTTATATAATGCCTAAGTATATCTTCCCTGAGTTGATAAACTAATTAACCATCTCCTCTATTATTATCATAACTGCCCAAAAGGCTAGTCATTTTGGGGGGAAGAAGACTTACAAGTTGATCAAGTGTATTCTTTTGGAAGAACATGAAAAATAATATTCTCAAGTATTGCAAGATATACAATGTTTGTCAAAGGTGCCGAAAAACCAATGGGGCTTTTGGTGTCATTGCCTCTCCCAAAGGATAGATGGATGAACATATCCATGGATCATACATTTGCCAAGAACACAGAAGTAAAATAAACAAATTTAAGTTCTTTTGAATAAAGTGGTAAATAGTGTGGACTTGGCTGCAATATACCTTGAGTGTGTCTTTCCTTAAGGACTTGGCTGCAATATACCTTGAGTGTGTTTTTCCATAATTTAGTTTGCCAATGGAGATTGTAAGTGACAAAGACTCAAAATTCATGAGTGAATTTTAGAGAAGTTTTGCAAAGCTCATAAAGAAGCATTAAGCTTAGATAGATGGACAAACTAAACAAGTCAACCAAATAGTTGAAGACATGCTAAGATGCATTATTAATAAACAACAAGGATAGTGGGATAAATTTTTGTTCCTTGTGGAGTTTGCATATAACAATTAAGATGACATTTTGCTTTCTGAGACATGGTTATCATCCAAGGATAGCTTTTGAGCTTGAGTACCTAGAAGACAACTTATCACTTCTATTATCTCTTAAGGACACAATGGTTGTATGACTTTGTGATATTGGAAATATCACTCATATATAAATCAAGTTGCTAGTTTACTTGGATCTCAAAGATCTAAAATGGATAGCAAGGTAAAGAGTTTATCCATAGAATTGGATGCAATTCTAAATGTATGTAATTGAAACTTGCAAATGTCTCAAGACTGAGCTAAGAAGGTTAAGTACTAAAGTCTTAGAATGCATCAGTAAAGTGGTTTACTGTGTGAAGTTGCAAAAGTACACCCAGTTTCTATATCAGTAAGTTAAAAGGTGTTTTAATGAGGAATGATGGATGTTTTAGGCTAAAGAAAAAGGGACAGAGCCAAAGCCCCAAGAAGTGTAATTGCTCACCAAGCAATCTTTGCAGAATGTGGCTTAAAGTATAATTAAGTTAAGTTCAGTCAATTTATTTTACAACAGATTAGTTCACAACTAATCTGGACACAATGGAGGTGGAGCATGCTCACAGCCATGAGCAGTGGTGTAGAGGGCTTGGGGGTGGCTGGGTGGTGATCTGCTCTACATCAGCATAGTAATTCTTCCTTAGGTTCTAACAAGCACACAGGAAAAGACATATTTTTCTTTTGCGACACAAAAGTATCTCGATCACCCAAGGCAGCAAAGTAGGTCTCAAATGCTGCGATCTAAAACCACTCAGTAGTGAGCTCGCCATGCCTTGACGTCTTGCATTGACCTCACTGTGCCAAGACGAGCGTCAGGGCCTGTGACATGAGTAGAGCTATAGGAGGATCCAAAGAAGAAGAAAGAGTTTGATCCTTACCAGGGAAGCAAACAAAAGGAGGAACGAGTGTTTCTCACAGCCAAGATGGTCAAGTAGCGAGCACGAGGAAATGTGGCAGCACTGGTGGGGATCGAGGCCATTCCAGATCTAAGCGCTGCTGATTGCACCACTTGCCTTGATCGCTAGCACTTGCTGCAGTGGCAGCGGAGGTGTTTGCTACTATCTTCTTCCAGGGAATCTCGAAGTTCTTCATTCCCGAAAATGCGACTCTCTCATCCAGTTCCAACGGTACGCTTTCGTCTTGGATGAATTTCGAGTGAATATTTTTTTCTTTCTTGTGATGTAACCTTTGGGACTTGGCAATTGGGATTCCAATTGCTCGTGTGGCGGCATTGCTGCTCCTCGTGCTCGATATTTTATTCTCAAGAGGAGGAAAAGCCTTCCTAAACAGCAGGAACCAGCCCGTGGTATGTCGCTCTCATTTACTATCTAGAAAAAAATGATTGGTTTTTTCAGAGGAATTTGATGAGATCCAGTTGACGTTGCATCGAGGGCCTGTGACTCTTTCCTACGACATGCTCAGACGTGCTAAGAAGATTTTAGTGATGACAAGAAGCTCTACCAAGAAGCCCCAGGTGGATTTGACGCCATGTATAAGGTATAGATTTGACAACATGGTTTCTCATTGTTTCTTCCTCCTTTTACTCTTTGCGACAGGGGACTTTGGTGATGAGGCCGAGAACGCTATCAAGAAGCTCTAACCAAGGGGAGTAGCAGTTTCTCAACGAAGTTAAGGTTATTGGCAGCGTACAGCAAAGCAAGAAAATTTGACTTACCAAGAAAAGCCTCTTCCTTGAGAAACTAAGAGCCTTTTACTAGCCTGACAAGATTCCGGGTGGTTTGCATCCTATCTTTTAGCGTTGAGACAGACGAGATGGTCGGTGAGGAAGAAACTCCTCGGTTGTCCTTGACTACCCGATACAATACACTGCTTGGACAGCTTGCGGCCTCACGTACCTTCACAAAATTCGCATCGTTCATTGGGACATAAAGCCCAACAACATTCTGATATTCGAAGCCAAGATATCAGACTTTGGGCTTGCAAGGCTGTATTAGAGAGGACGAAGTGACGGAGATCATCACCACAAATGTCCCAGGAACCTCAAAAGAAAGAACAGGGACGTGACGCTGCCTAGACCCGAGCAATATCTTCTGGAATGGGTATGTGAATTCCTCCTCTTTCTTTGTCATGAAAGTTTTTCTCAAGCCAACTCTTTCTCTTTCCAGAGGCTTGGCAGCTCCATTCCGATGGATTGCTTGCAAATCTTCTAAACCCCAAGCTCATAAGATCTAGTAGCAACGAGCAAGAGAAAATGCTAGTTCAGGCAATCCACATCGCTCTCATGTGTACTCAAGCTTCCCCAAGGACAGGCCTTCGATGTCTCACGTGCTCTCCGGCCATTCCAACGTCAATATCCCACTCTCCGCCACTTTCGACGTCCGGGCATTGAATCCAAGGCTCTACTCGCAGCAAGGAACATCCTCATCAAACTCTGATCCCATGAACAGGAGGCAAGTTTCTGGGGGAAGATACCACACGAATATTTTAGATTTTAAATTCAAATAGGCCCGGGAATAGCTTTTGACCGCACGAGGTTAACGTGGGCCTCCCATTCCTTGGCTCCTTCCTTTTGCCGTATGGATCGCACTATGAACTGCGTTTGACATGATCCATTTGAGCTATCACCTCTAGCCAGTCTGGAGGTGAAAGTGTCGGACCAGTGTTTATTTTGTACTGCTAAACTGGCTGTATAAAGTGCCAATTTAGACGCTCCAGCGTCCTTGGAGCTAGCTCCTTAGCTTAGCGGCCAGGTAGTGCATCCATTTATAAGAAGAAGAGGAGCTTCATTCTTTCCTACTTCTCAGCAAACAATGGCGAATCATCCTCTCCCTCTTGTTCTTGTGGCCTCTGTCTTCATCGCTGCTTTCGCCCTCGCTTCCAATTCCACCACAGATATAGACATTGCCAGGCCTTCGTGCTCTGACGCCTACAAAATTACTAGCGCCCAAATGGGAAGAAATCTCCTCACGGTGCTCGCCACTCTCCAAGATCAAGGGCCTGCAGCTGGAGGATATAAATCCACGAGCTTCGGCAGTATGAGCGACACCGTCTACGGTTTCATCCAATGCCGCGGCGACATCTCTGCCCAGGAATGCTCCTCGTGCGCGCGATCGGCCGTCCAGATCCTCAATTCCACCTGCGTGAGAAACTCCACCAAAGGAGGAAGGATCCACCCCGGCAATTGTTTCCTGCGCTACGAGGACCACTTCTTCTCCTCCATTCTCGACAAGGACACCAACCAAGGCAATTGCTCAACATCGATCCCTGCCTCTTCCTTGGCCATTTTCCAATCCAATTCTAGGACCGCACTAGAGTTTCTTAAAGCTAAGGTTCCTCGAAACGCAAGGAAATTCGTGGCGGCAGTGGCGGGGATTGGATCGGCGGTGCCTGCGTACGCTCTCGGTCAGTGCATTCCGGATTTAAGCGCTGCTGATTGTGCCTCTTGCCTCGCCGCCGCGGAGAATGCGATTGCCAGCACTTGCCGCGGCGGCGGCGGAGGGGTTTGCTACTATTCTAGCTGCACGCTCTTCTTCCAGAGATCGAAATTCTTCCAGGGCATTCCCGAAAATGCCACTGTCCTAGGAAATGGGACTCTCCCATCCAATTCCAAAGGTATGGATCATGTTATGTTATCTTTTGTAAGTTTCTTCTACAGCGAAGAAAACTTTGCTACTGGCAATTGCGATTCCAATCGCTGGTGTGTTGGCATTGCTTCTCCTGGTGATCGGATTTTTTATATCCAAAAGAAGCAAAAACGTTTCAAAGCCTCCTGGTATGTCGACTATATGCTTTGTTCGCCACCTTTTGTATGGTTTTTGTCAGAGGAATTGGATGAACTCCAAGTCACATTGCATCGAGGCCCTGTCACTTTCTCGTACGATTTGCTGAGACGTGCTACTGAGGGTTTCAGTGACGACCACAAGCTTGGAGAGGGTGGGTTCGGTGCTGTTTATAAGGTATGGATTTGATCGATCAGTTAGTCGAAAACTTTGGTTTTCCTACAGGGAACTTTTAGTGATGGGACCGAGATCGCTATCAAAAAGCTCTCGGTGGCCTCCAAGCAATGGGAGCAGCAGTTTCTCAACGAAGTTAAAGTTATTGGCAGTGTACAGCACCGGAATCTCGTCAGGCTCTTAGGGTGCTGTGTCGAAGGCAGTGAAAGGCTCCTGGTTTACGAGTTTCTCAAGAACAACAGCCTTGAAAAGGCTTTGCTTGGTAAGTTGAGCATTTGGTAGTTCGTATCTAAACTTCTACCACACGGGCTAGATGATTTGATCAGTGCGGAAGAAACCCCTCGATTGGGATGGAATACCCGGTACAATATACTGCTTGGAACAGCTCGGGGCCTCACGTACCTTCACGAGGATTCACAAATTCGCATCGTTCATCGGGACATAAAGCCCAGCAACATTCTTCTGGACGAAACATTCGAAGCCAAGATATCAGACTTTGGGCTGGCAAGGCTGTATGGAGAGGACGAAGCGACAGAGATCATCACCACAAAAGTCGCAGGAACCTAGTAAGTAACCACCTCAGCGTTAGCGTTAAACTCGTGATCGCAGACTAAAATGAAGTTCCTTTCCAGTGGATACATGGCTCCAGAGTATGCCTTTCATGGGCACTTGAGCGAAAAGGCTGATGTTTTCAGCTTTGGTGTCGTTGTGCTCGAGACTCTAGCCGGGAGAAAGAACAAGGACGCGAGTCTACCGGAACCGGAGCAATATCTTCTGGAATGGGTATGTTAATGGCTCCTCTCTTTTTCTTTCTTCAAGAATCACAGGTTCTCAAGCGAACTCTTTCCGCAGGCTTGGCAGCTCCACTCCAATAGACTTCTGCCAAATCTTCTACACCGCAAGCTCGTAAGCTCTAGCAATAACGAGCAAGAGAAAACGCTAGTCCAAGCAATCCACATCGCCCTCATGTGTACTCAAGCATCCCCGCAGGACAGGCCTTCCATGTCTCACGTCGTAGCGATGCTCTCCGGCCATTCCAACGTCAATGTCCCGCTCTCTGCCACTTTCGACATCCGAGCTATGAACCCAAGGTTCTACTCGTCATCGTCAAACTCCGCCGCCAGCGATCCCAAGAACAAGAGACAAGAAAAATCCCAGACGTTCACTGATCCGGAGCCTCGATAGAGAAGATTCATCCCGAATATTCGAAATTTCAAATTCAAATAAGCCCGGGAAGCGTTTACTCAGTTTCTGTTTTTTTTGGATTGATCTATATACAAATATGTCCCTTGTGGATGAACAAATCTACACAGTGAAAGTGGAAATTCTGGATGGAGCTTTTCTCTTCTTTGATGCTTCCATCAGCTGAGATTGATGTCGACGAGCTCTGGCGTACCTCTCTCGCTCTCGTTGTCCAGGAGCTCGGTGCCAAGCTGCCCCTTGTCCCCAGCTCCAAACGCAAACAATCGCCCCGAGTCGCAGAGCGCGAACGTGTGCGCGTTCCAAGTCACCGAGTTCGTCAGGCTGATTTGCAACACCTTCTCGTTTCTCTGTTTAAGAGACGACACGAGCTCCGGCCGGAGAACGTTCGCGTGACGATTAGCCTGCAAAACAATCCCGGCATGTGTAAAACACCCAAGCGAAAGAGTGCAAAAAAAAAAACCACGAACCTGGCCCTCGGTAGCACCACTGAGATGTCCGAGACTCGAGGACTCCCCACAGCCGCATGAGAAGACCTCTCCCGCGTCAGTCACCACGAACGTTGTGTAGTCCCCGGTAGCTACGTGCACGGCCTTGACTCCCTGTAAAGACTCCACCACCTTTGGCAGCAACTCGCAGTCCTCGTTCCCGTGTCCCAGGCAGCCATAGCGGCCCCATCCCCAGGTACACACTCGGCCATCCTCGGACACCACGGCTGCGTGCCATGCCCCCGCAGCCACCGCAATCGGTTGCAAGCGAAGGTGCTGGAAATGCTCTATCATCTTCGGCCATCTCTCGTCGGATCGAGTACCGTGTCCCAGCTTTCCTCCGAGTCCACAGCCAACGGAGTAAACCGCCCTGCGCATGAAAACCAGGCAAAGTTATAAGAACTTTCGAAGAAGAAGAAGAAAAAGGAGAGATGAGAGGACTTACATCCCGGTGGATTGACAAGTGAGAGCCAGGAGGTAGCAATATCCTGCTGCAATTTGCACGACAGGTTTATTCTCTAACGCTCCCCTTAACAACTGCGGTTTCTGATCCTCGGGCTCTGTCTGGTGCCCGAGCTTGGCATCCGCACCCCAGGAGAAAGTATACACTCGCCCTTCACGAGATAACACGGCCGTGAAGAAGTTTCCTATAGCGGCTTGTACCACAAAAATGCCGTTCAACGACTCTACTATCTGCGGCGTGTTGATGTTCTTGGAGCCCGGGCCACCATACTCTGGATCCCCGAACGAATCCTTCCCAAACGCATACACCCGGCCAGTGTCACTGATAAGCATCGTCCGGCCTACACCTGCTGTGGCTTGGATGATCCTCACGCCTTGGAGGGACCTGCCAAAACATCAAAACGTTGAGAAACGTTCTCTCCCTCTGCCTCTTGTCAGACCTGAGCAGACGAGGACGCCACTCTTCGTCAAGCGACCCATGTCCAAGCTGCCCAGAACTGCTAGAGCCGAAGGTGTAGACGGCGCCGGTCTTGGTAACGACGATGCTGTGGCCAGGGCCCGCGATCGCCTGGATCTTCTCCCGCCTGTAGCAAAGCTCGCCAGCTTTGAGAAAACGCAGCACCAGCTTCCAGGACCCTCCACAGCTCTCCTTGAGCGACTCCCTCTCCTCGCTCGTCATCGGTCTGAAGATAGCCCGCCTCTTACACATGTCCAATGCAGCGAGCTCCGAGAGGGAGAGCGTGACGTCGGGTGTGAAGTTGGCGGCGTGTCTAAAGAATGAGCAAGTTGCCTGATACAATAAAAAAAAAAGAACAAAACATGTGAGCTCCGGGCCAGCCAGTAAGAAACGTGAAAGTGAAGACTCAGAAAACTTACCTCAAGCCGTGCCAGGTCTTGTGGATCAAGGCAGCACTCGGTGAGGACGTGCAAAACAATGGATGGATTGGTGGCGAGCGGGAATTCCCCATGAGAGCTCGAGCTCCCATAGCATAGGCGCTGGTTGCGCTGCGACGTTTGCATGAGTGCCGCAACACCATGAGGCTGTTCTCCAGAGATTCCTATAAACGACAGAGAAGTTGGTTGCCAAACTGGTCCAGTTGCTGCAGTATCCATGGGGCACTGCAAATCGCAGTGCCCGTTGTGATGCTAAGTCGCTCCTAAGAAGAACTGCAAGAACAAAGAGAGCAGCAAAACATTCACTTCTGTGCAAATGAAAGCTAGCCATGAAAGCAAACACACATCGTTCACAAACAAACACACACAGAGTTGCAACTTGCAAGTAAGAAGAACTTCGAGACCATCCTAGAGAGAATAAAAAACCAACCGGAATTCCCTAGCCAAAGAACGATGGACAACCTTCATGAGTCTAACTTAGAGCAGCTTCCAAGCACAAGTCACTCGCCTTGCCCTGCAAAATCAACGATCGAAACAAATGAGACCAAGAGAAAAACAAGAAAGAAAAAAAAAAACGGTGAAAGAGGGGAAACAATGCGAAGAACACAGCGAAAGCCAGGCACGAGGCATCAAGCAGATAACGACATAGCCTAGGGTTTGCAAATGCGCGAATTCCCCCATTGCAAATCCGGGGATAAGCCCCAGCTCTTGCCTAATCTCCCACTAACATCCAGCAGCGCAAGCAGCATTCATCATCACCAAGCCCCGTCGCGTGCATTCCCACAGGGAGAAACCAAAAAACACACAAATTTCCAGAGGAAAGATCCACAACCTCGCGCTCGCAAAAGCTTTTGCGACGCCGATCGATCGATGCCCAGCCGGCCGAAGACGCGCGCGCGATGGCGCGGAGGAGGGAGAATCCAGGAATCCGCACCGAGAAGTCGCGAAATTGGATCCGGGCGATAGCGCAAATCAATGCCCTAAGAAATGGAAGAGCCAAATACCACAAAAAGCAGTAGTGTGTATAGTGTGCTCAAGTAACAAGCGTGGAAGATCCAACGGCTCTGGAGTCACATCGGCGAAAAACGGAGGGACAGCAGCAAAGGGTGGCGGCCATTGACGCCCCTCCTCCTCTCCATTTTTTTTTTCTTTTGGTTTTTCGGGTAAAAACGAACGAATTTACCCGGGCCACGTCCACACTTTCAGTCGCAGTGAAACTTCCATGGTTGCGTTTAGCAGAGAAAAAGAATAAAGCTTGCGTTAACATATCCTCTTACGCTAGCTAGGGCTATGACTCGGAAGCGATCAAACAAAGGATCGACCAAGGAATCTAGGGATCTCGTGAGTTTTAGGGTTTTCTATACTATTGCCTATGCTAGTGGGCTATAAACTTGGTCACGGCCTTGGTACCCTCGCTAACGGCGTGCTTGGCGAGCTCACCGGGGATGAGTAGTTTCACCGCGGTTTGGACGTCGGTAGCTCCCACGGTATGCCTGGACGTGCGCTTGACGAGCGCCGAGACCTCGGCCGAGATCTTGTCAAACACATCGTAGATGAAATTGTCCATGATCCTCATCGCCTTTGATGAGATCCCCGTCTCCGGATGGACTTGCTTGAGAACCTTGTAGATGTAGCTCTTGAAGCTCTCCTCCTTCTTCTTGATCCTCCTGCCACCTTTGGAAACCCCCAGCGATGGATCCGCGGCATCTTGATCGTCTTTTGATGGCCGCCGCTTGGCCGCGGTGCTGGATTTCTTTGGCTTCTTCCCTGCCGGCTTCTTCTTGGCTACTCCTTGCGCGGGTGGCGGCGCCGCTGAGGCTGCCGCCGCCTCTTCCTCCGCCACTTCTTCCTCGTTCTCGGCCGCGTCGATGATCAACGCGGGCACGTCCATCCCGTCACCCATGAAGTAAGACAAACCAAACCAATGACCTAAAAGCTAGCTTGGATTTGGCACTATTTATAATGATCCCAGCCGTCCATATCAACGGCCAGCAAGAGCCCTAAAGAATATTTTCTCCCCTCTTCTTTACCTAGCTCGATCAAGCTCCATCCATGGGCGAGGTCCGGCCCGAGATTGTCAAGCCGCGCACTGACAAGCGGGAGTACAGGAATGTGGTGCTCCGGAATGAGCTGCGCGTGCTCCTTGTCAGCGATCCCGATACGGATAAGGTGAGATCCGTAGCGGAAATTTTCGATGGATTGAGGATTTGTGTGATGGCGCGCAGGCCGCGGCAGCGATGGATGTCAATGTTGGATCGTTTTGCGATCCCGAGGAGCTTGCAGGGCTTGCGCATTTCCTGGGTATGTGGACCGATTCCTCTCGATTTATGTTTCCTTGCTGGTTTTGACGATGGAACTTGGAATGCGTAGAGCATATGCTATTCTTTTCCAGCGAGAAATATCCCTTGGAAGACGATTACTCCAAGTTTTTGAACGAGGTAGGCTGGCCAAATGGGATAATTTCTCTTTCTCTCTCTCTCTCTCGTCTAAACTGCTACTCGTTTGCAGCATGGAGGTCACTCAAATGCTTTCACGAGCTCCGAGGACACAAACTTCCACTTTGACGTGAACGCCGAGCACTTAAGCCAGGCTCTTGACAGGTTTTTTTTTTCATTTTTCTCCCGGTTTCATGTCTAATGATCGCGGAATTTCAGGTTTGCGCAGTTTTTTATCTGCCCTTTGATGTCGCAAGATGCTACATCAAGAGAAATCAATGCTGTGAATTCAGGTAAGAATGGCCGCAGTCAAATTTTATACCTGAGCTCGTATCTCTTTCTTTTGATAGAGCATAACAAAAACCTTACCACCGATAGATGGCGATTTGATCAGGTGTCGTTTGCTTGCTAGATTATGCCATGTGTTTATTCTAGTGAAGTGTTTCTAACATGTAACTGGTCGAACTTGTGCAGGTTGCGAGACATGTGAGTTCTAAAGACCATCCTTACCACAAATTTGGAACTGGTATTCATGTTTTCTAAGTTTCTTATCCAAGTACTCACGCTGGAAATTCAGGTAGTTTGGAGACTTTGGATGTTTCTCCGAAATCTAAAGGCATTGATACGAGAGAGGAGCTGATAAAGTTCCACAAATTTCACTACTCGGCAAATCTTATGTGCCTTTGTGTGTATGGAAGAGGTAAGAAAAGACATAAGGATCTTTTATTTATTAACTTGAACTCATTTGCTAGAAACCTTGGACGAGCTTGAAAAAATTGTAAGCGAGACGTTTCAGGACATAAAAAATACCGGCAAAATGGCTCCATCTTTTCCTGGTCTACCATTTCTTCCGGAGCATAAACAAGTAAGTAGTTTGTTAGTGTTGAACTTCATTTTTCGATCGCTTTTATGTAGATCATTATCAAAGGAGTTCCCATCAAGCAGCGACATAATCTGGAGTTAACTTGGTTAATTCTACCTGAATTAAAGAATTACAAAGCTGGACCCTGTCGATACATTAGCCACGTTCTGGGACATGAGGCAGACGGTTCTTTGTTTGCACTTCTCAAAAGTCTTGGTAAGCATTTGAGCTTTCCTTGTTAAGGTTTGATACATCAAATCATAACTAGGCTGGGCGAGCAGTCTTTCTGCCGGAGAAAATGAAAGGAGTTCGGATTATTCTCTTTTTTCTATTTATATCGAACTCACCGATGCAGGCCAAGGTCTTTTTTTTTTGTTTTGTTTTGTTCTGTGCCTTAGACTCGCAGAGCTTAGCAGAACATATGGAGGACATAGTGGGGTTCACTTTTCAGTATATTAGCCTGCTAGGACGCAAAGGAGTCACAGAAGCACTTTTTGACGAGGTACTTGAACTTCTCGTGAGGTTTCATTTTGTGACCATTGTTCTTCTTCTCTTTCTAAGATACGAACAGTCTGTGAGATGAAGTTCCATTATCAAGATAAGTACCAACCAATGCATTATGTTACACGTCTGGCCGGGAGTATGCAGGTGTGCTTTCTCTCGATTTAAATAAAGTTTCTAAAACAGTGCTACTTGTTCAGCTTTATCCGGTTGAAGATTGGCTTGCAGGTTCCTCCTTGCCAAGAACTTTTGACCCTGATGCTATTAAACAGGAGATTGAGTTTTTAACTCCAGAAAACGTCAGGTAACTTTCCACTTCTACCAAAGAAATGCCCTTTACATTTATTTTTTTGTTATTTTTTAGGATCATCTGGTCCTCCAAGCAGTTTGAAGGGATGACCAATGAAACAGAACCTTGGTATGGTACATCCTACACTGCAAAGAGAGTTTCTGAATCTCTTCTCGAGGTTGGCATTGTTGTTTTGTCTTTTCCTTCTTTCGATTTAAACCATCTTTATGTAGAGCTGGAAAAACGCTCCGTTGGATCCAAGGCTACATTTGCCAGATCCTAATCCTTTCATTCCTACAGACTTCAGCTTGAAGGAAGCAAATCTGAAGGTGTATAAATCTCAGAAAACAAGCAATGGAACTGACGTGTGAATTTACAGATGCAATATCCTTATGTTTTGAGAAATTCATCATTGTCGAAGTTGTGGTATAAGCCTGATACCAAGTTTCAAACGCCGAAAGCTTGTGTTATGATTCATTTGCATTGTCCGGAATGCAAATATTCTCCTGAATCATCTGTTCTATCGACAATTTTTACAAAACTACTTCTAGATTATCTGAACGAATATGGTGAGCCTGTGATAAGTCACTAAAATCTCAACATTCTTACCGGTATGCTGGTTACAGCTTATTTTGCAGAAATTGCTGGCCTGCAGTATTCTATTCAACGCACCTCTCATGGTTTTTTGGTAAGATTGTTGCTACTTCGATATGAATCCACCAAAACTTTTCTTGCATTAACAGTTATTCATCACTGGTTACAATCATAAACTGTACAGTCTTTTGGAACGTATTGTAGACAAGGCGGTCAACTTTCAGGTGAAAGAGGATCGGTTTCTTGTTATAAAGGTATGAAATGGGACATATCGCGGTTCTTCTCGTGCACTGACTGTTCTTGCGTCTGGCAGGAAAAGCTCATGAAAGATTACGTTAACTACAAGTTTCAACAGCCATACCAACAGGCTATGTATTACTGTTCGTTGATGATGGAACAAAACCGGTGGCACATAAAAGACTATCTCGAAACTCTTCCTTCTCTCAACGCAAGCGATTTGCAAGCCTTTTTCCCCAAATTATTCTCTCGAATATATGCTGATTGCTATGCTGCAGGTTTGGAAATCAGATTGCTCTCACGAATGTTACTTGCTCTTTTCAATTTGTAAATTCAGGTAACATGACAACAAAAGAGGCAGAGGCTTTGGCCGAACTTATTGAGAACAGGTTTACCAGTTCTCCATCTACGAAAACGAAGCCATTGCTGTCGTCACAAGCAACCGAAGACCGAATCACAAAACTAGACAACTCGGAAATGTTTTACCCAATATCTGGTTTGAATCCCGACAATGAAAACTCAGCTCTCCATGTATACCTCCAGGTATGTTGTCATTTTCATTAACTCTATGAAGGATTGAACACTTATAGGTGGGACAAGACGAGACAGTGATGAACATTCTCGTGGAGCTATTTGTTCTCAGTGCCAAACAACCTGCGTTCCATCAGCTTAGATCTGTGGAGCAGCTCGGCTATATTACTGCCTTAGTAACTAGGTTGGTTTTGCGATTAAAGATTATTACATCCAATTGGCGTGGAGTTGATTGGGCTCGTTTTTCTTCCTCAGGAACGATTGTGGTGTCCAAGGTGTGCAGTTTATCGTTCAGTCCACCGTAAAGGTAGAATTTCAAGTTGTAAATACTTTTGATTCCGAAGGAGGATCTGCCCGCAGGATCCCAATGGTGTCGAGGAAAGAGTCGAGGACTTTTTAAAATCATTTGAGACGACACTAACAAACATGAGTGACGAGGAATTTCAGGTAAGTAATCGCTGGTTGGAGCTACCATTTATGTTTGCTGCCCCCCTTTTGACAGAGAAATGTGGAGGCACTCGTCGAAATCAAGCTCGAGAAACACAAAAACATTTACGAGGAGACAAACTTCTTCTGGATGGAGATTGACAATGGCGCATGCAAGTTTGACAGGCAGCAAGTCGAGGTGATGAACAGCACACAATCTTATGAAACGTCAGCAAACCTTGTGTGGTATATATTTTTCCAGGTTGCTGCTCTACGGACTCTCACCAAAGATGAGCTACTAGAGTTTTACATCAATCACATAAAATCTGGCGCGCCCATGAGGAGAAAGCTCAGCGTCCAGATCTATGGCAAGCTCCACATGCAGGAGCTGGAACTCCTGGAAGATGGCAAGAACAGGATCAAGGATCTGTTTAGTTTCAAACGATCGCAAGGACTATATAGCTCATTGAGGTGAATAGAATCTTACTATTGTTACTGAAAAACCCGTGAAACCGGCACCATTGCTTCTGGAAACTTACAGACAAGCTTTGCGACCGGCAGTAAGACATGGCTCTTATCAAGTGGCACAGTTCGTTTGCCTCTGAAGCACCAGTCGCTCTCACCATGATTTTTGAGCTCCAAAAACAGCACCATTGTTTTCCTGGAGCTTCGACAGTACGGCCTACTCACAAGTGGATCCTTTCCAACCCACAGAAAGTCATCTCTGGCTTTCAGGGGATCAAGACCTTGTTCAAGGATGGAGCTTATGTTTTCCAGCGGGCTTCCATGAAACACAAACTCTAACGATTTGAGGTCTGAGATGCTGCAAGTGCGCACCGCTTGCCGCATCTCATCTGCAATACGCAAGAAAGAAGTAGGCCATTAAAATAAAGTTTAAACCTTCAGGCATTTGCGTGAATCAAGAAATCAAAAGCTAGCAGTGGAAAATCTACATACCTAAGATGCTATTGTCGTCGAGGGTGGCGTAGCGTTGGAGAGCTCCCACGAACTTCCTGTAGATCGCTGAAGACGAGTCTAGCTTGTTTGGCTGAATTTGCATGGTGACCCCCGGGCAGGTGATGACTCTCTCCAGGAATTTGGCATCGATCAGTTGGAGGAGTAGGTCCTCAACAGGCACAAGCACTATCTTGACGATTCTATCAACTCTCGTGCATGCATTCGTCAGCTCCATTGTCGAGAAATCAATACAGTTACCGTGCAAACCTAGGACCTCAAAATACTTGTCAAGTATCTTTTGGGCAACTTCTTGCTTGTATGGCTTCCAGGGCTTCTTGTTGTCACGCCAGTAAACTCGCGGCTCCATCGACGAATAGACAAAACCTAAATCTTAAAGCTGGCAACTATATTAGCTTCTAATTTGGACCAACAAAAGCTGCCTAATATCTCTTGGCATTCTCTCATGGAAATTCATGTTCACTGTGAATATTTACTATTGACTGAGGTTCCCTGTTGACTATCGTTGACTATGCCTGACCAAAGATTTACTATGGGACAAATTGACCCGTGACAAACGCGCCAGGGAAAGGTGTGTCCCAACAAATGAATGAATGAATGAATGAATTGAAGCAGAAGCCCAGTTTTTTTCTTTTTGTTGGTATTGGCCTATTTGATCCCATGTCTTGTTGTGCTAGGACATTTCTTTTCTCTGACCCATGATCATTTGTAACAAAGCTCTTGAATCAACCCTTTTCGTGTGGTGGATTTCTTCTTCGTTTTGCTCTTCTTTTCTCTCGCTTTTAGATCATATGAAAACCAACTAGATAAATGGAGGTGCTTCCGCCTTTCTTCGTCAAGCAGTGGCAGATTCCGGGCGTCAATCAATGCACGGGGCTGATCAGGAGCTCCCGATGTGAAAAGGGAGAAAAGCTGGGAATTCTTCCTCTCCCTCTCGCTGGTGTGATTTGGGGATGAGTTACCAGCACAGGATGCAAGAGCTGGTGCTCAAGAGCGGCTGTTCTTGGGCATCGGAGGTTAAGGCTCCTCCGCCTTGTTCCAGAGAAGCTAGCGCCGGTGGTGGGATTGGAATTGGGACTCCACGAGCAGACGAATGCTTCCTTCCAAAAGGACCATTCTCGGGTCTCACAATCTGTGTCACGGGTCTCTCCAAAGGTACGTTCTTTCGAATCTTTTCTTTCTTTGGCTCTGTGCTTTTGGCCTTGGCTATGGTGGTTGATTGGAATTGCTGTGGTTGATTTGGAGCAGAAGCTCGAAAGCAAGTCCAGATCACAACCGAGAGATTGGGAGGAAGTTACAGTCCAGATCTTCACTCTGGATGCACTCATCTCGTCGTCCAGATATCCAAAAACTTTAGTGACTACTATTTATGATATTTGTTTTTCCTTGATTGTCGATTCTTTCCACAGAAGTGCTGGCCGCAAATACGAGCACGCTCTCAAGAACAGGTTTAAGAAAGGCTTGTTTGTAGTGACACTCGCTTGGTTCGTCAATTCCGCAAGGCTCAATGGTAGAGTTCTTCGTTTCTTTTGGTGGCAAGCCAACTCATCTTTCTTTCCAGAGCGACTGGACGAATCCAAGTACGATGCTACTACAGGAGATGTTGAATCCGCCGAGAACTCGCTACCACGCGATGATCCAGCCGCTTGCATGCCGCAGAAACCATCGTTCAGTGCTCCTCTCCCGCCTCTCACAAACAAGCCTCTCGCGAGCTTGCAAGTCGTTCCAATGGCCAGCAACAACAAAAACTCCACCGAACTCCCCAAGGCTCCCAGGAAGCCGATGTTTTCCGGCATTTGCTTCTACATTGACAATGATATCTCCACCGAGTTGCAAATCAAGGCAAGTTTTCTAGAACTCTTTAGCTCTTTCCTTTAAAGTAAAATCTCTCAAGAGCTCTTTTCGTTCCTTGCGACTTAAAAAGGTTGTAGAGGCAGCAGTGAAAGAAGGAGCTACTTGCATAAGCGATTGGTATATCGGATGCAACGCGACACACATTGTCTGCGAGGACAATGCCCTTGTCAAGTACGTTGGATACAAGATCCATTTGGTATCGGTAAGTACGCAAAATCCTTCCTTTTTCTCGCCACCATTTCCTCGTTTGAGCTTTTCTTTCCAGCCAATGTGGGTTCTACGAACAGTGAAAGAGCACGCGTGGTACCACCTCGTACATATCTCGCTTGATTTGCTCAGGCATTTTCCACACCTTTTAGACAAGGTGACTGATCGAAAGTCCATAGTTTTCGTGATCTATCTCAGTTGGTTTCTATTTTTCTGTAGAAATCCGAGCCAGCAGCAGCGCAGCAGCAGCAGCAGCAGCATGGCAGCAGCAGGAAAATGCTCGCGCTTTGTGCTCGAGAAGATTCGCAAACTCGTCAGCTCAAGCTCGATACATCGGAGGCCAGAGTTCGAGCAGCCAGGGAAAGTATTCGAAGGCGTAGAGGACCGAGCATGCAGGTTCGTAGCTCTTTTCTCTCTATCCAAGAAAAACTTTGCGTTCTTCGAGTAAAAAATCTCTCTCTCTCTTTTTTCTCTTTGCCAACTTTCGCAGCCTTGCCGAGCACTGCCTCGTCCCATCACGCCGCAGAGCATGATGGAATCGATTTGCTGGTCGGTATCGGAGCCACCGTCGACGGCCCAGCTCTATCTCGACAGCTCGGATGGAACCGGGCACTATGATCAAGCCTCGGACTACTTTGACGCCCAGGAAAGTGGGAAAGACTCGAGTAGTGGTGAAGTCTATGTGAGACCGCTGAACGATAGGTAAGCTTTCTTCACAAAAAATTCTTTTTGTTTTCTTTGCTTCTTCCATTTCATCTCGCTGACAAACTGGATCTACTTGGGACAGTGAGAAGCAAGACGTCGTTTACAAGGGAGCGTTTTTGACGATCTTATTCCCGCTGGATAGATTCTCGGAGATGGGGCCATCGTCAAAGCCGTTCTTCTCCGAGAAAGGATTCACGAGGCAGCAAATCCTGGAGAACGTCTATGGCTTCTACCAGGTAACTCACTGCGAAGTTCTGTGGACTGGAAACTTGAAAGGAAACTAAGCTCGACTTACACAGGAGCCATTGTCGAGTAGCGAGATCGAGGTTGCCGTGTACACGGATTCCAAGCACGCCGAGAGGCTTCGAGCTGTTTACTCGGCTCCAGAGACGGTCGAAGCTGGCTACGTCCCAACCAAGAGATACGAGTTCTTGGGAAGTAGACGAAACTTTGAGGGGCTCAGGCGCTTGAGCGTCGAGAAGAACGGCCAAGTATATCAGCTCTGCTTGGGATCGTAAAAACTCTGTAATATAAGTCTCAAAATAAGCTGTGAATTTCCTTCGAAGAAAAAAAAGCTGATAGCCAGTGTATACCTTCAAATGCTGGAAAGTACTTCCTTGGCCATGGCTAGAGTGAAGTCAATGTCCTCTTCCGTGTGAGCCAAGCTCGTAAAACCCGCTTCAAACTGGGACGGAGCCAAATAGACGCCTCGCTCGAGCATGCCTCTGTGAAACCTCGCAAACTTTGCCGTGTCGCTCTTCTTTGCGTCCTCGAAGTTGTGCACTGGGCCTTTAGTGAAGAAGAAACCAAACATCCCCCGGATGTATCCACCGCACATATCATGCCCCGCATTCTTCCCAGCTTCCAGGAGGCCTTGAACTAGCTTTCCCGATACTTTGTCCAGATACTCATACGTCCCGGAGTTCTGGAGCCGCTTGAGCGTGTGAATTCCAGCAGTCATTGCTAAAGGATTTCCACTCAGAGTACCTGCTTGGTACATGGGACCAGCCGGTGCTACCATCTCCATGATGTCCCTCTTTCCACCGTAGGCACCGACGGGCAGTCCCCCACCAATCACTTTACCCAGCGTTGTCAAGTCTGGAGTGATGCCAAAGTATTCCTGTGCACCTCCGTAAGCTATCCTGAATCCGGTCATGACTTCGTCGAAAACTAGAAGAGCGCCCTCGTTCTTCGTCACCTCCCTCAATCCTTCCAAAAACTCCTTACTGGGAGCTATGAACCCGGCATTTCCCACGACTGGCTCCAGAACTACGGCAGCAACCTCGCCTTTGTAGTCTTGGAAGAGCTGCTTCACAGCATCCAAATCGTTGTAACCCGCAGTAAGCGTCGAGGAAGTGGCTCCTTTAGGCACTCCGGGCGAATCCGGGAGTCCAAGCGTTGCAACACCGCTCCCAGCTTTGACGAGGAACGAATCAGCGTGACCATGGTAGCAGCCTTCAAACTTGATAACTTTCTCTCGCCCCGTGAAGGCTCTTGCAAGCCGCAGCATCCCCATGCACGCCTCTGTGCCCGAGTTGACAAACCGGACCATTTCCACGCTTGGGACTGCGTCGATTACGAGCTTTGCGAGCTCGTTCTCCGCGGCACAGGGAGCACCAAAGCTCGTACCATTCTTCGCAGCCTCGGCTAGAGCTTTAAGTACCTGGCAGCGAAGTTTTCCTCATCGATCGATCATACAAAAAAGTAGAAAAAGTAGAGTACCTCGTCGTCGGCATGGCCTATAATCGCAGGACCCCAGCTGCCAACATAATCAACGTACTCATTTCCATCCACGTCCCAAGCTCGCGATCCTTTGACGCGATCAAAGATAATCGGCTGCCCACCCACAGACTTGAAAGCTCTAACCGGCGAATTTACTCCTCCTGGCATCAAGTCCTGGAAAATGTAGCTCGATAAAGCTCCAGCTCCTCGGCAAGGCAAATATCGCTAGAACAATTAGAATGTGGGAATAGCCTACCTTGGCCTCCTTGAAAATCTCCTCGGACTTGCGCGTGACGAATTTCTTCTCCACGGACACCGCCATTTGCGATCCGGAAGCTCGGCAAGCCGATCCACGCGGGCGCGGGCGACAATTTGGAGATGGCGACGCGGGCGCGCCGAGCAAGGCGCTCCATTCCACCGAGAGACCCGCCATCGCCGCGGCCATTGGCCTAACAGTGAGTAAATATTTTGCGAGAAAACCTTATCATCAGGCCAGGTCTGAGGTTCGATTCTGGCCAAAATCACAATGCTAACGGCGATGAAATTTCGTTGTGTGTGCTCGTCTCCACCGCGAGAAAATTTTACTCCTTCACGAGGCCTTGGGGTTAGGGTTTCGTGCGCGAGGAGGAGGAAGAGTGGCGCGCTTGGAGTGGCGGTGTCGGCGGCAACAGCGCTTCTTCGATTCTTGGAGCGCCGGTGAGCTAGATCGTAATGCAGCTAGTGAATTGACTCTTTGTTGCAGGGATTTTGATGCAGTGAGCGATTCTGCCGTGGACGATGAATCGGGTTTCCAGTTGGAAGAGGTTTTGGCGCGTCTAAAATCCGACTACGATCGATCCTACTTTCTCACAGGTTTTTTGAGTCATGATGTGTGGATGAATCAGTTTTTTTTTTCTTCTTCTTAGGAGACTTCACGCGTAGTATATACAAAGAAGATTGCTTCTTTGCCGATCCAACTATACAATTCCAAGGTAAGTCACTGATGATCATCTGGCTGGTTGACGAGAATGAATCTCTTTCCAGGAAGAGATTTGTATAGACGCAACTTAATGCTATTATCTCCATTTTATGAAAGTCCATCGTTGGTTCTGCTGGATATCAAACCAGACCCAGAGGTACTGCTTGATTCACTTAGTGTTTCTTTTTCTTTCGTTTCTGGTCGGGTAATGGCTAACTTGGATTAACTTCAGGTTTGCGAAAGTGATAAAAAAGCTATAGTCGCGTTTTGGAAGCTAAGGTTCGTCTGTCGGTCTCTTACGAAGCAGTAAATCCCAGCGTGTTGACAGTGGTTTGCGTGTAGAACATACTTGAAGCTTCCATGGCGGCCACTGGTCACGCTGGATGGTTCCACCAAATACAAGCTTGACTCCTCGTGCAGGGTAACTATCACTCTGGATCTCACAATTATGACTTTCATTTTTTCTTGTAGATAACCTCGCATGTTGAGAGCTGGAATATCTCTCCACTGCAAGCTCTATCACAGTTATTTAGAAGCGGCTTATGAAGAAGACGGATGCGTTTGGAATATGCTAATTATGTGGTACTGGAAACGTATGAGAACATATCTCACTCGGTCACTTTGCTATGGTCCACGTGCATTGGATATTTGAGTCTGGGTACGAGAAGAATCAGCGCTGCTAAGCGGGTCTGATTATTTCGGGGAATAGGCGGTGCCCTGGGACAGGAGCAACAATGTCTGTGAGAGCAGGAGGAGTCTTTGCAAGCCAAATCGGTACCAGATGTAGCGGCTGCCACAATCGCCAGTTCAAGATATACAGCCAGCCACGGGTTGCAAGGCCAGGAGGGGTCTTTGGTCTCGGCCGTCATACCATTGCTCTAGCAGGAGCACCTGGAAACAGGACTAAGCAGGCGGCTACTACGAAGGAAAATTCTTTGCTAGTGCTCGACGAGAATGGTAGCGGAGCCAAGAGGTTTTTCAGCAGTGTTTCGAGCAACATCCAGAAGATCATCAGCGATACTCTGAAGGTTCTGCAGAAGCCAGCGATAGCTCTGCTCCTCATTGGGCTACTACTGGGTTCTCCAGAGGATGCTCTCTCGGCAAGCGGTGGAAGAATGGGAGGAAGATCGTTTTCATCTGGCGGTGGTGGTAGATCAAGTCAGACGTACTCTCTACCTCGGTCCGGGGGCTCCAGCTCCAGCTTCAACGCGTACAGCTTCGTGGCTCCATCACCTTTGATTGGAGGTGGATTGTATTTGACGCCGGGATACAGTGTTGGGTTCGGAGGCGGTGGCATCGTGCTTATGTTGCTGCTTGGATTCGTGGCGTTTCAACTCGTCAGCGGCTTTTTAGTAGATCGCGATCAAGAAATAGGCACAACGAAAACGAGTGTTATGAAACTCCAGGTGATGTAATTCACTGCCGTTTTTTTTGGTTTTCAACCAACATTTTGTTTGCAGGTAGGCCTGCTTGGAATGGCTCGCTCGTTGCAACGGGAGCTAGAACAACTGGCCAATCGTGCAGATACCTCGAATCCATCCGGACTACATTATATTCTTACAGGTACGAATTTTTATTTCTCTTCTTGCGAAATGCAATATTGATTTTATTTTTTGGTGTATCAGAAACTGTACTCTCACTTATGCGGCATCCGGACTTTTGCATTTCGGGGACATCATCAGTGAGTCTGCTATTTCTTTGATCTAATTTGCGATATAATCTCCTCTCTTTTTGGCTTCTCTCAGTCTGAAGTAAAGAGGTCGGTGGAAGCTGGCGAGGCAAGGTTCAATGAGCTGTCTCTGGAGGAGAGAGGCAAGTTCGTCGAGGAAACGCTCGTGAGCGTGGACAGCATTAGGAAGCGAACTAGTCCGAGATCGTTTTCGGGCAAGACATTCAACAACGAATACATTGTGGTAGGCATGGATCGTATAAAATCGAATCCCACTTCCTCTAAACATTTATAACTCCTTTGTAGGTGACCGTCCTGGTAGCTGTGCAGGGATCACACAAGCTACCCACAGTAAACAGCAATGCGGACCTCAAGGCTGCTCTCAGCAAGCTTGGATCCATTCCCGTGCAGCAGTTGCTCGTAAGTCGTTTTGGTCGTCTTGAGTGTTTTAGCTGTTAGTGGTGGTGGCCAATGGTTTGTTTGCAGGCAGTGGAGGTGTTGTGGACGCCACAAGACGAGAATGATGCTCTCACCGAGAATGAGCTGCTAAGAGATTATCCACTACTCAGGCCGCTGTGAGACGAAGAGGTAAACTCTCTTCGAGATTTTCTTTTTGGACCTTTTCAAGGAATTCTTCGTTTGGCGCAGAGAAGCAACCTTTGTTTTGGAAAGCGATGATCCTTATCCAAAACGTTGGACTTTGGTGCCACTTGCTGGGATTAGATAGCTAAAAGGATGGCCGCGGCATCTCATGAAGTATAGCAAATTCCAAGGCTGCATTCTACGTCGCTCCAAACGACACTTCTCTTTTTTTTTCTTCTCTCGTGCTGAGCACAGGGAATAAAAGATTCGCGAGACAAGGGAGAGGGATAATAGAATATGCCCACGAAAGAGTTGACCTACGAGCACAAGTGACGGTTTCATCATGCGCAAGTGGTGGCCCCGCCACAGCATCGGACGCACCCCGCTATGCCACGTCGGCGAGATGGAGCATATTCGTTGGAGCTTACGTGGCGGAAATACTTCCAGATGGCGTAGTTTGGTTGTGTCGGGTTGGCGGCCAAGGGTTTGAGCGAGCTCACGGAGTTCATACGATCGACTCTCTTTTTCTTCTTCTTCTTCTTCTTCTTCTTTGGCGGTGCTCTCCAATTCTGTGAATCTGGAATGAGAGCTCACGAGCCTTGAATTCTTTCTCGCTTGAGTGTCTTCCAATTGGTATTTTAAGATTTTCCTCTCCACGAGAGCTCAGGAATCGCAGAGAAGAGACAACATTTTTTTTTCTCTATCCCCTTTTTTGGGGGGTTTGGGTGATGATCCATGAAACTAGCGGAATGGATGCTTCTTTCCGGCAAGAAGGGGCTACGAATTGAGTAGCTTAAAATGCCTGCTAGCAAACCAGGAGCTGAGAGTGATACCGGAAGTGAGTTTGTGGAGATCGATCCCACTGGTCGCTATGGTCGGGTAAGTTCTTGCTGCCCATTTTTCTTCTTCCAAGCTTGCTAAGCAGTGTGTTTGTCCGTCCATCTTGCAGTACAGCGAAGTTCTCGGCAAAGGAGCATTCAAAGCTGTGTATCCTTTCTTTTGATCGATTCGTTCCAGTATGTGTGTTTGGTTTGATCCTTGACTTTTGAGATGATCTTAGATACCGGGCGTTCGATGAAGTGGATGGCCTCGAGGTTGCCTGGAACCAAGTCAATGTCCAAGATCTCCTGCGAAGTCCCGACGATCTTGAGCGTTTGTACTCGGAAGTTCATCTCCTAAAGACGCTCAAGCACAAGAACATCATCAAGTTCTACACATCCTGGGTGGATTCCAAACGGAGAAATGTCAACTTCATCACAGAGATCTTCACATCCGGTACATTGCGACAGTAAGTCTTTCGATTGAAGTAAGTCTTCGAAATTCCATTGGACTGTTCGATGATCATCAGGTACCGCAAAAAGCACAAGAATGTTGACATGAAAGCCGTGAAAAACTGGGCCAGGCAGATACTCCGTGGATTGCTCTACCTCCATAGCCATGATCCACCCATCATCCACCGGGACTTGAAGTGTGACAACATATTTGTGAATGGAAACTATGGCGAGGTTAAGATCGGAGACCTCGGCCTCGCCACCATTCTTCGACAAGCTCACGCTGCTCACAGTGTGATTGGTAAGTGTTTCGTTTTCTAAGAGGTGCTTTTAGAGTTTCTCCTCTTTTTCTTTCTTTTTGTCCTTTCTAAGAGTTGTGCATGGCATGGTGATGGTAACTTGGATTGCCCTGGTTCCTCTCATCCAGGGTAATGGCGTTTTGCAGGTACTCCAGAGTTTATGGCCCCGGAGCTTTACGAGGAAGAATACGACGAGCTGGTGGACATATACTCGTTTGGGATGTGTGTTTTGGAGATGGTTACATTTGAGTACCCCTATAGCGAGTGTACGAATGCCGCACAGATTTATAAGCGAGTCACTTCCGTAAGTTCAGTCTTTTTTCCTCTTTTTTGGAACTTATCTTTCATTCTTTCTATGTCTGTGTGATTTTGATCGTGAGCAGGGAAAGAAACCAGCTGCCTTTGAGAAGGTGAAAGATCCGGAGGTCCGGAAGTTCATCGAGAAATGTTTAGCAGCAGTCTCCCGAAGACTTCCTGCCCGGGAGCTCTTGATGGATCCATTCCTTCGATGTGACGGGGAGCGAGAGAGTCTGGAATGTATCCCAGTGATTCGAAAGCAATCCCGAGTTGACGATATGGAGGAGCTGCGGTCTTCTGCTGTGACAAATCACGAATCCGATCAAGGCGATTCGGATCAGCAAAGAAAAAGCATAGATTTCAAAGTCAAGGGGAGGCGACGAGAAGACGACACTATATTCTTGAGGCTGAGGATCGCAGATCCGGAAGGTATATAACTTATCTCTTTCATACTTATCTTACGTTTTTTCTTGCGAGCACTGTGCACAGGTCACATACGCAACATCCATTTTCCTTTCGACGTCGAGGGTGACACAGCGCTGAGCGTAGCGAGTGAGATGGTGGCGGAGTTGGATCTCTCAGACCAAGATGTTACCACCATCGCCGAGATGATTGACGCAGAGATCCTCAACTTGGTCCCGGACTGGAAGCCAGGAGCAGCCTTTGACGAGAGTGGTGGCGATGGAGAAAACAACTACATAGATGGCGATGACATGAAGAACCTTGGGGACGCCACGGACAACGTCTCCTCGGATGGTTCTCACTTCGCGAGTGGGAACATCAAGCGGCACCTTTCTCCACAGCTCCCGTGCGTGGATGTGGCATCTCCTCCTCGCGGCGAAGGGACGATGTATGGAAGATTTGAAGAGGTCTACTCGGGTGGCTCGGACCCGTCGGAGGCGAATGCTTTCTTCTCCAACGAGTCCTCGGACGATGGTGAAGAGACGAGCTTCCCGGCAACTCCAAAGTCGGATGCTAGCGATGGTAGCGTCTCGTCGAGCTTGAATCCGAGCTTGTCGGCGGTGGAAGAGCCCCCGGAGCAAGATCCAGCGTCGTTCAACAAGCTGGTGGAGCTGAGGAGGAGTGATTCATCGCAGGACCATGCGTATAGCTGGGAAGGGATCGCAGTGGAAAGAGAACAAACACTGGTGGTGGAATCATCGTCTTGTGGTGGGGTGACAGATCTCTACAAGGCTGGAGAAGAAGATGGCGAAGAAATGGCGCACGAAATGGTGCTGCTCATGTTAAAGCAAGAGGAGGAGATCAAGGAGTTACAAAAGAGACACGAGCAAGCTTTGTTTATGGTGAGAAACAAAAGCATATGATCCCAGAAAGGTGGCACACACTTGTTCTTGTGTTACTATTGAATTGTTCTTATATTTCTAATATATTTGCTTTGGATGAATTCCTCCAAAAGAATAAAAAGAAGAACATGAGGAGCTGGAGAATCGAGTGAGCGCCAGTGATTCCCCTGTGTCAAATCAATCGTTCCTGCAAGCGTATAAAAACAATGAGAAACCTGTGGAAGAATCTCGCTGCTGCTGCTGTTGGCTCAGCCATGGCTGCTTGATCTCCTCTCCACTTGAAGAACACATCTGGAACATAAACACCGCGGAATTCGCAGGAGCGTTGCCACCACCACTAAACAACCAGTTGTGAACATCCCAGAAAACTTCCACCTGCTGACCATCGATGACGATGGTCTGATTCCCCCGGAACTTCCACGCCAATCTCTTCACCTGGACCACCACCTTCCTGTCGATCCTGATGCAAAGCCTCGGCTCCTTGAGGCTCGGCTTGGCACTGCTACTCCGGCTGCTGCTACTGTGACCGCTGCTGTTGCTCGAGCCGGAGCTCAATCCACTGCTGCCACTTGCGCTGGTACTGTTCCCATTCCGGCTATGGTGGTAGTCGTCGCCATCGCCATCGCCGTGATCGCTATCTCCGTGACCGCAGCCTCTATGGCTGCCCGCTCCCAGCGTCGGGCACTCGATGATCACTTCGTGGAGCTCACCACCCTCGCAGAAGCTAGCCTTGGTGGCGAAGAACTTCTTTCCGTAGAGGTGCTCTCGCCTGGAGAGCAAGCTCGCCTTGATCGAAGCCGGCTTGGCAGCGCGCAGCCTCTTCCAGGCCTCCCTGCTGCTGCTCAGGCCCTTGCCCGGGTGGTGCTGATCGCCCAACTGGAGAACGATCTCTTCCTCACACACAATGGCCACCAGGAAGCTCGCCACTGGCTCGGGGCCCCCTCCCGGCGAGTACTTGGCCGAGGAGAGGTCCCAGAACACCTCGACCTGGCGATTCCCCAGCTCGAAGCGCTTGGATCCGTGCTTCTTCCAGAAGAGCCATGGCCGGAGCTCCACCTTGCAGCCAAACTTTCCATCGTCCACACCCACATTCAAGCCCTGGCCGATGACGTTCTTGGACCAGGTGACTGTGACGATCCGGCATTGGCCCGCGAGCTTGGTCCGGTACAAGCACGACACGGAGTTTTGATTCATCGCCGCCGCCTTCCTGCCCAGCGATACCGCCGCTGAATGATCGCTACTCACCTCCACGCCGTAATCGCCGAAGCAAGATGCCGCCGCCATTGCCGATGGAGCGATCGATCGGCCGATCCCTCACAGAACAGGCATTGGATCGAGCTGCTAGGAGCTCGCCACGAAATATCGAGAGAAAATCTTGGCAACCTTGGCTCCTATCTTCTTGGAACACCCCAAATGGATGGGATCGATCGATCGCAAAGAAAAACCCCAGCAATGCGATGCTGCCTTTTCGGAGATCTAGGGCAAGCGCTTTGGATCCAATCGCCAAAGAATGGGGTGTTCTCCCAAGATCAAAATATATAAAAAAGAAAAGAAAAAAAGAAAAAGAGGAAAATGGTAAACAAAAAAGGAAAAACAACTGTCATCCGCCTTTTCATTTTCACTTTTCCAGCACATCAATTATCCATAGCCGTCGGATGCCAAAAATGCCCAGATCTGCCGCCTGGGCCGACGGATCTGCCACGTGAGAAGTCAACGGACACGTCAATGCGACACGTCCGCCCTAAGATTTCGAAAATGTCTCAAGTCGATGGCCATGACGCTTATGTCGTCTTGAGAACCTCTGCTCGCCGCGAGCTCGGCCAGTTTCTTCGTCGACGCTGCTAATCCTCCAACGCTACTCATCTCTGCCGATCTAATCTCGTCTCCTACGCAATCTACAGCCTCTTGATTCGACACCTAGAGAAAGAGAATCGAGTTAGAAAAGAGCGAGCAGAAAGAAATGCTACACAACTTACCACATCCCAAAGCCCATCAGATGCTAGCAACAAAAACTCACAATCCTCATCGACAGCGAGCTTTTGGATCTCAGGTTCTGCGGACACCCATCTTTTGAGATGGATATCACCAATGCCTCTTGACACCGCCAGCACTCCTTGTAATCTCCAAACACCCGAGTACAAATCAACGTAGCCACCCTGTAGAGCAAAGCTTGTAAGCCCACAGAACTTCAAACAGAAAAATAAACTTCACTTACCAGATCTTCCACTCTTCTTCTCTCGTCCTCGCGAGCAAGCCTGTGATCTTCTGTGAGAGCTACAGCGACTCCATTTCTACTCATCACTGCACGGCAGTCTCCAGCATTTGCGACCACCAGCGATCCATCCCGTATGAAGGCTGTGACGCAGCTTGCTCCACTTGAAAGTTGCTGCAAAATAAATAAAAAGTTCCTCCAGTTAGCCATCGCCGAGTTTTTCTTCACTTTTCTTCTACGGGGACTTTCGAAGAAATTTACCTTCTTAAGGAACGCAGCGTCCGTTGAAAGATAACCCACTCTCACAGCGGCTTCCAAGTCGCGTTCTCCATTGTCAAGAGCATCACGGATGTTTCGGGACAAGTTGTCGGCAGCAAACTCGGCCGCTACGCGTCCCCCGTGACCATCGAAAATTCCAAAGAAAGCCTGTAGCGAGAAAATCCAGCGACCCAGTCAGTAATCAGATCCAGAAACTCACGTAGAAACAGTCAAGATTTTAAAAAAACACTGTTCCAATTGCACGAGAAGAAATCAAAGACCCAGTCATCAAGCAATCAAAGTACAGAGGAGATCAGCTTACATGTCTCGAGTTTCCATCAATGTCAAGGACAGCTTGATACGCATCCTCGAGAACTTCTCGGTGACCCTTTTTGCTGTGAATTCCATAGCCTTTTCCCTCCGCTGAGATATCCATTGGAACGTCCATATGATCCGGCTTGACAACCTCCGACTCACCACCCGAGCTGGGAATTTGCAGCTTTGGAGGTCTTTTCCTCTTTAAAGGCGAAACCACTGCCACTGTGCTTTGCTGCTCAGTGTTTTCTTTGGCCACCTTGTCACCACCCCACTTTGTTTGCGACAATCCTCGAAAAGAAGGAGAATTCCCCTTGATCCTCTTGCTGGCCCCTGCTTTGGCCCGAAATCCCAGCGATGGACTGCTATCCGTATCCGGCGAGCTAGATCTGTTAATCTCTGTCTTGAGCTCCAGGAGAGGGCTTCTTGGAGTTCCTCTTGTCGGAGTAGGCGCGACGCAAGACGAGCAATTCTCATAGCTACAAAATCCCCCGACCGCGTTGGCCAGCGTTTGCGATTGCAATGGCGACAAATTCAGCCGCATTGCCGGCGGTAGTGAGAGAGGAGGCGGGCTAGAAACCGCCAGATTCCGTGGCTTGAGGAGCGGTGTGCGAGGCAAAATCTCCTCCGACGCCTCAAATTTCTCCAGGGACGCGCAATGCAAGCTTCGCCCCAAACCTGTCCAGCGATCGAAAATATCCCTGCCCCATCCCGCAGCTGTCTCGGCAATCGACATGGCGCCGAGAAAATCCTTGTGCTAGAATCGCTCCAAGAAATCCCTCGAAGAACCCTAGACTGTGCCCCGGCGTTGGAAGAATAGAAAGCCAATGGACCCGTTGGGCGGGGGGGACGGTCCTTTAAATACCTAGAAATCACAGAATGCATTGCTACTGTGGCCAATGGGCATTTGCAACGTGGCACTGCCTGGCCAGATTAACGGGCAGTTTGTGCGCTGGCACGCTCAGATGCGTCCACCTGTCACCAACTAAGCAGCGTTTGAAACGAGTATTGACGAGTATGGACTTATCAAAAGCGCATTTTGGTTTTAGAATTTCAGGCGCGTCAAACTATGATTAATTATCTTTCTTGGCCGAAGGTTCCAAAGAATATGCTGATTTGTGCTACAACTAAAAATTGCCCAGCGAATGCCGGCTAGTTGGCAAGACTTAATAGAAGTTACAAAATGAACATTCACTTGTTTTTAAGAGTTTTTGTGCACGAACAATTTTTCCATGTAAAGCTCTAAATGGTACAACAGATCGATCGTTCAAAAGCTAGCAGTGGCTTGGATGATTGCCGGGTCAGGATCCCGCTGGATTCCAGGTCTATATCCAATGCTTCCTGTGACCTAAATAGTTAGTGGTCAACATGAAGGAAAGAGCTTATGAACTTACCGATGGAAAGGGCCAAAGTTCTCCCAACACTGCTCCCTACTCGCTGCTCGGCTGCGATTGGAGTGAGAGGAAAGAGTTGTGCCACACAACTGACCAAGAAAATAGTTTGACAAACTGGCACCTGGCGAAAGTCGAGTCTTTCTCAGTCGCACCTCCTAAACATGCATCGCTCAAAGAGCTGCTCACTGATTCACGTTAAACGCCTGATCCTGACGGTCTTACAGTCAGTGTCTCAGCAACAATTGAGCGATTCAGAGAGAGCTAGCCGCTCGGAGAAGACACTCGAGGGTGCCAAAAAACAAATCATGCGAACTGTGCCGGCACACCTCACATCGCTGGGGCTCACTTGTGCCCACGCCCTTACCTTGCATTGCGGGGCTAAATCGCGCCACACCACCAGAGCTGCTTGCGCTATAACGTTGCATTTGAGCAAGCCATGTTAAAATTGATTGCATAATTCCTCTAGCGAAATTAAAATGATGCTATAAAATAATTAATTTAGTATGATATAGTTTGGTTTTGTTATTTCTTCTCTTATATTTGAATGTCAAATTCTATTATATGTTTAGTATATAAGCAGGAATTAGCTCAAGCATATTATTTGTAAGGTGCAATTTTCAGACAGTAAGAAAGTACGAAAACATTTCAAAATTGTTATGTATCATTTAATTTTTACTAAGCTTTTTATGACAATACCATTATTATAATGGTACACAGTAAAACACATGTAATATAAACTTAATTGAAGCAAGTTGTTGCCCACAAAAATAAGATTAACAAGATTAATAAGCTTACCAAAGTAATAAGAGTTGTCTGTGTACCTTAAGAGTGCATTCACTCCATGAATAATAGATAGTTATGCCTTTACAACTCCCTTTTACATCGTAAAATTTCTTTCATATGCATTACTGACATGGAATAATGATGATTCATAGTGAATGACATGGATTATACAAGGAAAAACATCTCATATTTTTAAAAAATATTATTGTACCTATATTTTCCTGTGTACCAAATCACATGGCATTATGCAAAAAATGGAGAAAAACAAAAGGCATCACACAAATGCTGTTATTTAAGCACAGAGAGAGCAAAATTATTGTTTAATGAGAGGGGATGGCATAAGGCAACACTTCATTTGTTCCTATCTCATTTCTAAATCATAACCATTTATAAATATCCCTTCATTTTTCTTTTTTTAGCATTTATAAATAAATAATTGCCTCCTCCTTTGCAACAACAACTTCCTCCTCTTCTTCCTTTGACTGTGGAATAATAGTTAATGTAGTTTAATACTTAGTTGATGGCATCATTCATAATTCAATTCTTAACATCCACTTAAATTTCTCCTAAGAAACTATTGGTTTGATCACTTTACAATAATTATCACTTATCATTTATGGGTTAATACTTAGTGTCAGTATGAATTTTTTATTTGTCTTCAAAAAACAGTACTATAATGATATAATGATTTAAGTGAAGTCACCCATGTGGATTTATAATCCACTTTATCTCTTTCCTTATAATCTAACTTAGAAAAATTAGAGAAAAGTCAATTACTTCATGTAATTCCCCTTAATGGTTACTTTATCCCATTTATCCTTAAAGTTTCAAATATTGATGTGTTAAGCCTTTGTTAAACATATGTTGATGATGCCTTTATTAATAGTTGTCTAAGTCAGTTATGCAATTTGGTATTTTATTTTCACTTATCTACAATATAATTGGATCTGTTGTATAATTTATAAAATTTAAATTTAAATTAAATTCTGTAAATTTCAAATAAGTGCAACCTCATTTAGCTTGACTATTTTAAGTACCAATTATTTGCTAAAGGCAAATTATGCTTCCAGCATATTTTAATGTTGTGATTTTGGGGGACTTAAAGCCTGTATTTGTATAACTTCAAGACTGCTAGGATTTAGTGAGCAAGGTAGAATGGCCATTAGATGCCTAACAAATATTCTTAAGCTTTTCACTTTTCATGTGCTGGTGCATTTTCAAAACGGACACGCATATCTATATATATATATATATATATATATATATATATATATATATACATTAAGTGGGTTCTAGGTTCTTCACATCTTGGCATGATGGTGAGTTTGTGCTGCTTTCTTTGCTCTTGTGCTTCTGGTTTCTGCTGTAACTTCCCAAGAATGCAAAGATCTGCCACAAGGATGCATGGATTTTAGGAGGCAAGCTTGCCGTTGCGCGTGCTGTGCAAATACTCCCCTATAAGGTGATGCCTCAGCAGCGTATGCGATCAAAAGACTGTGAAAGAGTTCAAGGATTTCTGTAGTATCGCACGCTGTGCATGTGTTCCATAGCTTGTTAGAACAAGCTGGACTTAAATTGATAAAATAATTTTCCTTGTGAAAGAGCTATATGTTTTTCAGCATCTAGCGATGGAGATATAGATTCGAGCGCTCGGCTTGCAGGACGAGAAGTCCGACTCCTCTGACATCTAGCTTGGCTTGCACCCCGCGGAGCTCCTTGTTCTTGACGCCCGTGGTCAGAATTGAAAGCATCGACTAGATCCAAGAAATCCAGGACATGCTGAGAAGAAACGTGGAGGAATCATGAGGAACTTTGGCTATCCCCGGCATCTAATAAAATAATTCATTCACTCATTCATAAGCTATTTACAAGGTGCTGCTCGTGGCGGATCCATGACAGGGAACATAATTTATAAGTTTTTGTATTCTTGACAATTGACTTTTGGTATGTGTCCTTGTGAGCAAAAAAGAACGAATGGATATGAAGCAGCGCATGAAAGGCCTAAACATTGAAAGATGCCAAGGTATATCTTTTCTGGAAGTCAGTTTAGGCGGCCTCTCTTGACGAATATATACCGACAGTATGTGTTCCAAGGTATTCACATCTTGGGATGATGGTCAGTCCTAGAGTTTGCGCTGCTCTCTTTGCTCTTGCGCTTCTGGTGTCAGCAGTAGCTTCCCAGGAATGCAGAGATCTCCCACAAGGCTGCAGGGATCCTCGCGAAGGTTGCCTTTGCGCGTGCTGTCCGAATACTCCCCTATATGGTGATGCCTCAGCAGCGTATTGTGATCAGGAGGCTGTGGAAGCGTTTAAGGAGTTCTGTAGCAGGGCACGCTGTGCCTGTGTTCCATAGCTCTTAGAAAAAGCTGGACTTGAATAAATTTCCTTCGTGAATAAATTATATATTGTTCTTAAGAGTATCTGGCGATGGAGATCTAGATTCGAGCGATGAGAGTGAGAGGCACTCCTCTGGCTTGTACTGCGCGGAGGTAAGAGTATCGCTTAGAACCGAGATTGAGGAAATCTCATGAGGGATTGATCCAGGAGAAGTCACCTAGAAGAGAAGTGGAATCATGAGCAAGCGCCCAAGATCATTCCAGTACCAAAGGAGATCCAACAACAATATCACGTCAAGTTGATCCTGGAGCGCCTTGATCTGTAGTCGACGAGTAATCACTATGGATTGATTGGAAGCTATGCATCTTTGATCAATCCTTTCGACTTCATAACCCTCTTGAGCTTGGCAACGTCTTTCTTCCTCCCAACGCTTGTATAAATCTCCTCGAGCATGAGGTACGGCACTGAGTTGTGAGGATCCATAGCCAGGAGTCTCTCTGCGGCATTCTCTCCGCGAACAACATCGCGGTGGAGCTTGCAAGCGCCAAGCAGCGATCCCCACGCAATCGCATCTGGAGAAAATGGCATGTCGAGGATGAGCTCCTCGGCACTCTCCACACGCCCAGCTCGCCCAAGAACATCGATCACGGCGCAGTAGTGCTCCCTCATCGCCTTGATTCCATGGTCGCTTTGCATCGACTGGAAGAGCTCGATTCCTTCCTCCAGCAGACCACCGTGGCTGCAAGCCGAGAGAGCATTCACAAAGGATATCTCGTTTGGAGTGTGGCCCTCCAGGATCATCTTTCGAAACACCTCCAGCGCCTCGGATCCATGTCCCGTATGACCCAGAGCTTTGACAAGCGCAGTCCAAGAAGCGATGTCCAAGTCAGGCATAGACTCAAACGTTGACTTGGCCTTGTCAAGATGCCCAGATTGGGCATAAGTTGGGATCATCGAGTTCCACGACGCAGTAGTCCACTCGGGCATTCTCTTCAACACCTTCAGAGCCTCCTGAAGACGGTTGTTTTCGCAGTATCCTTGTAGAAAAGCGTTCCAAGTTACTGTGTTTCTCTCCGTCATGCTCCGAAAGGTGGCATGGAGCTTGTTGAGATTCCCAGACTTGGCAAACGAAGCGAGCATCGCAGTGCAGGAAACCACGTCTTGCTCGGGCATTTTCCGGAAGGCAAACTCGGCCTCTTTTGCCATCCCATTTTCCACGAACGACTGGATCATAATGTTCCAGGAAGTCACGTCTCGCTCGGGCATATCATCGAAAAGTTGACAGGCTTGATCGATATCCCCATTCTGAGCATAAGCTTGGATCAAAGGATTCCACGACAGCGCGTCCGTCGCTTCCATCTGATCAAACAGACACTTCATCTCTTCTAGATAATTCCCCTCGCCGTGAGCAGCCACTGCGGAGATCATGAGATTCCAGGACACAGTGTTCCTCTGCGGCATTCTCTCAAAGATCTCCCGGGCGCCGCTCAGGGATCCGTTTTGCGAGAAGCCCTGGACGACTGCGTTCCACGACACAACGTCCCTGACAAGCGCTCGATCAAATATCTTCTTCGCAGATTGCAAATGCCCGGCCTGGGCATACGCGGTGATCATTGTGTTCCAAGACACAGTGTTTCGATCGGCCATGCTCTCGAAAAGCTCCTCAGCGAGATCGAATTCTCCGTGGTGAGTGTAGAGCTGTAGCATCGTCGTGCACGTTACAACGTTTTTTCTCTCTAGAGAATCAAATACCTCCTTCGCACGATCAATATGCCCGTTCTGGGCATATGCAGCAAGGAGGATGTTCCAGGAGAAGAGATTGGGATGAGAGATCTCCTGGAATGCGGCTTGAGCGTCGGCCACGCTGCCGCATTTTCCATACATCTGGACGACGAGATTGGCGAGGTATCTGTTGTGCTTGTGCTCTCCGGCTACGAGGAATCCATGCGCGAGCCTGCCCTTGGCCAGATTCTTGGACGCCCCACACGATCGCAGCAGCGTCGCAAGCGCATCCTGATCCAGAGCCTTGGCGAACACGCCCTGCGCTGCGCAATCCGGCTGAGAATGCGCCCATCTGCGAAGAAGGCCGATCATGCATTTGCCCAAGAGCCCTAATTTATTTGGAATATGCTCTTTTCAACAGGGGTTTTGGGGGTTTTAGGGTTGTAGGCCAACATGGGGTGTCGAGTCGGATTCGTCGGCGCCGGCGCCATGGCGGAGGCGATCGCGCGGGGCTTGTCCCGAGCATCGATCGTACCGTTCTCTAGGATGATCGCAGCCGATGTGAGCGAGGCCCGGCGCCGCGTGTTTGAGCAATTGGGCGTCAAAACTGTTGAATCCAACCATGAGGTAAGCTACATTTTCCCTTCCCTCTCCAGATTGGACGGGATTCTATCTCTGATCAGGTTGCGAGCAGCAGCGATGTCATAATTCTCGCAGTGAAGCCCCAGATTGGTAAAGCTTTCTCCTTGTGCCTTTTTTCTTTTTCTTCGTATGCCTCTTTTAGTGATTCCTTGGCTGTTGGAAGAGTGCAGCTAGCATCGTCGTCAAGGATTTGAAGCCAAAGCTCACGGAAGAACACTTGCTTGTGTCGATTGCAGCAGGCGTGACTTTGGATCGCTTACAGGTATGTGTGCGACGAGTTTTTATGTCCTCTTTAGATTTTTCTGCTTTGATCCATTTCGTGGAGCTAGGAATGGGCAGGAGAGGCAAGAATCGTGAGGGTAATGCCCAACACTCCATGTCTGGTGGGAGAGACAGCCGCTGGTAACAAAAAGACTACGTTTGTGTCTGTAGACTCCGCAACTGAATCTTTTCTTCGTTTCTTGTCAGCTATGAGCCTGGGGTTGTTTGCGACGAACAAAGACGCTGATCTCGTCAAGTCGCTCTTTGAGGCGGTGGGGAAAATTCATATAGTCGACGAGAAGCTCCTCAACGCTGTGACGGGAGTAAGGTAGATCAAGTGTTTGTTCTTCATACGTTTTCTTGCCTGTTGACAGAAGAATACGTTTTTGTTGCTGTGCAGTGGTAGTGGCCCTGCTTATATCTTCCTCGTTATAGAAGCTCTTGCTGATGGCGGAGTGGCGGCTGGATTGCCAAGAAACATTGCCTTGTCACTCGCAGCACAAACGGTAAGCCTTGTCTCATCTAGATCATTGAAGTTCTTTTCTTTTATTTAACCGTATCGCAGGTTTATGGATCGGCCAAAATGGTGCTGGAAACAGGAAAGCATCCGGGATTGCTGAAAGACGAAGTAGCATCTCCTGGAGGTATTGTAAACATATATTTTTTTCTTTCTCTCTGTCTTGAATTAGTGACTTTTGGATTTGACTTTTGAAAAACAGGAACCACGATAGCAGGACTGCACGAGCTCGAGAAAGGCGGAGTTAGAGCTGCATTCATAAATGCTGTTGTTGCAGCGACTGAGAGAGGTGAAAAGCTTTCCAAGATGTGATCAAGTTAGAAATACTGTCTCTTGTGTTTTGAAAACAAACAGAACATGTTTTGCTAAAAGTTTTTCTCCAGGTCACTAGAAAAGAGAATCATAGGCCATCTTTCCAGGCAGGGTGGCGGAGATGGAAGGACGAGGGTCCCAATTCCATAAAAGTTTGGAGAAAGATCTTCTATAGATGTCGTCCGGGATTTGAGGCCAAAGCGCACGGAAGAACACATTCTTGTGTCGGCATAACTTTAGAGTAAGTGTGCGATCTTGCAGAAGTCCCCAGCTCATTGACTTGTGCGATAGAATAGGTATCAACGTGGCATTTGAAGGATTTGAGATTTTGGCAGGAGAAGCGATCAAATCTGGAGATAAAAAGGAGGCTTTCTGGATAGAAAGGAAGGTTTTCCAAGGGATTGAGTGCTCAAAATTGTCCAAAATCCTTGGATTCTAGTAGAAGAGGCGTGGCATTCTTGGCATCTATACAGTTGGAATGCTAAAATCAAGGAATTACGAAGGCCTTCCAGAGGCGAATTGGATCTAGTGCAAAGATGGCATCACAATCCGAGGTGGCCTTTAGGTTGGGCAAGGACGTACATACGTAGAGCTTGTCTTCATAGCAGCTCTCGCTCAAAACACAAGTTGCATTTTGTTCTTTCCAGAAAAAAAAAAAGAGTTTCTTTCATTTCTTAGATTTTTCTCGCTTAGCCAGCTTCCCTTTGCTTGAATCACACCACTTAGTCTCCGAGGTCTCTTAAAGAATGCCCATTTGAGGAAACATGACGATATCACGTTGACTGTGCACGTACGTAGAGAATCTCTGGTTCCAAGTCAACCCCAGTTAGACTTGTGTTGTTTCGTCATCTTCTGATATGATCTGTGCGATTCGGCATTTGCCGCAACTAGGCATCTGCAGCTCTTGCAAGAGCCCCCCAGTTATCTGGGCAAACTAGAGAGCACTGTCGGATGAGCATTTGAGATACCAAGTTAGAGGATGATGTTGGATCTTCACCTAGATCTAGATTCTAGACCCACCCCATTGCCCAAACAAATCAATCTCCTCTGTGTTGACTTGATCCACCGGTGTGAGCAAACACACACACACACACAAAAAGACATCACCCCACCTAACTGGCCCCAAAACCCATGACAATGGCGTGGATCCTTCTCCGCCCTTGAAGAGCCCAAAGAGCTCTCCTCTCCAATTGCCATAAGAATGCCCAGCTCGCGCGAGTCGAGCCCTAGGTAAGTAGGGCGATTGGAGCGCAGCGATGGAGGCCAACGGGCATCCCCACTCGCAGGTGGACGACTACTGCTTCTCGCTGGGCGGCGCGCGGCCCATCCACAGCATCCTCATTGCCAACAATGGCATGGCCGCCGTCAAGTTCATGCGCAGCGTCAGATCCTGGGCGTATGAGGCGTTTGGCGCGGAGAGGGCGGTGGTGCTCGTCGCCATGGCCACGCCCGAGGACATGAGGATCAACGCCGAGCACATCCGCATGGCCGACCAGTTCGTCGAGGTGCCCGGCGGCACCAACAACAACAACTACGCCAATGTGCAGCTCATCACCGAGGTATGATCCGGTGCTACAGCTCTCACCTTCTTCTCGCTGTGATCGTGGTGTTCTTCGCGTCTCTCCCAGGTGGCCGAGCGAGCCGGCGTGGCGGCAGTGTGGCCCGGATGGGGGCATGCTTCCGAGAATCCCGATCTTCCCAGCTCGCTCGCTGCGAGGAATATCGTGTTCTTGGGACCTCCCGCGGCGCCTATGGCTGCTCTTGGGGATAAGATCGGATCCTCGCTCATCGCGCAGGCTGCTGGAGTTCCAACGCTTCCCTGGAGTGGATCCAACGTGAGTTTATATGCGCTCGTCGTCGTCAAGTCACACTTCTTTGCTTCTTTGATCCACAGGTTGCTGTGCCGTTTGAGAGCTGTAGAGATGGGATCCCCGAGGAGCTCTACAAGCAAGCGTGCGTTTTCTCGGCCGAGGAAGCGCTGGCGATGTGCCAGAAGATTGGATACCCGGCCATGATCAAGGCGTCCTGGGGTGGCGGTGGCAAAGGGATCCGCAAGGTATTTTAGAGCTAAAACTTTCGCTTTCTTCGTGCTCTTCTTTATAGCTGAATACTGTTCCTCCTGTAGGTTCACAACGACGAAGAGGTCAAGGCTTTGTTTAAGCAAGTGCAAGGCGAAGTGCCCGGCTCGCCAATCTTTATCATGAAAGTTGCCTCTCAGGTACGTAAAGAATGAAGAACACCGTGAAAGAAAAAACTCTCTTTTTGTTTCTTCTGGTTAGTGCCGCCACTTGGAGGTCCAGCTTCTGTGTGATCAGTATGGCAATGTCGCTGCGTTGCACAGCCGTGACTGCAGCGTCCAAAGGCGCCATCAAAAGGTAAAACCAAGGGACGCATTGCTACTACACTAACGCAAACGCCATCGCAGATAATCGAAGAGGGGCCGATAACCATAGCTCCGCCCGAGACTGTGCGCCTCTTGGAGCAAGGCGCTCGAAGACTAGCACAGTGTGTCAGCTATGTTGGTGCTGCTACTGTGGAGTACCTCTACAGTATGGAGACTGGCGAGTTCCATTTTCTCGAGCTCAACCCGCGGCTACAGGTTTGTCTCGCTTATATCTTGCCTCCTCTTACCGTGTCCTTCAGGTAGAGCATCCGGTGACCGAGTGGATCGCGGAAGTTAACTTACCTGCGGCACAGCTCGCGGTTGGCATGGGGATTCCTCTTTGGAAGATACCGGGTATGTTTTGTTTTTTTTTTTCTTTACCTGTACATCGTGGGGAGCTAAAGTTGACGTAGTACTCCAGAGATCAGGCGGTTTTACGGCAAGGAAGACCAGCTCGTCCACAACCAGACTAATTGGCACGCAGCTGCTGCTGATACCGCTGTAGCTTTCGACTTCGACACAGCAGTGGCTAACAAGCCCAGGGGACATGTTGTAGCCGTGCGTGTCACTAGCGAGGATCCGGACGATGGTTTCAAGCCCACCACTGGCAAAGTGCAGGTATGTCAATATCCCTGCGTCTCTTTTTGCTTCAGACTTGTTCTGCTTTTTTCAGGAAGTGAGCTTTAGAAGCAAACCGAATATATGGGCCTATTTCTCTGTAAAGGTGCGGCAAAATCTCTTTTATCTTTTCCCTTTTCACCCTGTCCTGAGAGGCCTGTCTTGCAGTCTGGTGGTGGCATCCACGAGTTCTCCGATTCCCAGTTTGGTACGTTTCCAGTCGAGGACACACTTAATTATTGCTGATTGCTCTTGCGCCTCCTGTAGGACACGTCTTTGCGTTTGGAGAGACACGTCCGGCCGCCATTGCAAACATGGTACTTGGGCTCAAAGAGCTGCACATCCGAGGTGAAATCCATACCAACGTTGACTACACCGTCGATCTTCTTCACGTAAGCTTTTTGTAATGCATGCGGTGTGGTGTCTTGTCACTAATACTTGTGCGTTGTAGGCACCTGAGTACAAGAACAACAAGATACATACGGGCTGGCTGGACGGCCGGATTGCCATGCGTTTGCGGGCCGAGCGGCCTTTGTGGTATCTATCGGTGGTTTGTGGAGCCATTTACGTAAGTTCTCCTTGCTTTGAAAAGCATAACACCTTATCTGTGCGTTTATGTGCCAGAGAACATCAAGACTTTGTGCAGCACGAGTGTCCGAGTACATAGGCTACCTTGAGAAAGGACAAATCCCACCGAAGGTAAGCAATGCTTGCGGTTCTTCTTTACTAATCCTTTCGCTAGTTCGTCTCAACAGAACATTTCTCTCGTCAATTTTCGTACGTCGCTCAACATCGATGGCAGCAAATACACGGTAAACGGCAACCATCTTCTCTTGTTATCAATTCGCTCTCTCACTGCGTGACTGTGTGTGTGCGTGTGTGTGCGTGTGTGTGCACAGATGGAATTAACAAAAGGTGGCCCCGGGACGTACAGATTAAATATGAATAATTCTCGAGTGGAGGCCGAGGTCCACACGCTGCGAGACGGAGGTCTACTTGTCCAGGTTTGTGCTTTGTTACCGCTGCTTGTTATTGCTCATTGGATCATCCATCAGCTGGATGGGAACAGCCATGTTGTCTATGGAGAGGAGGAAGCCGCTGGAACGAGGCTACTTATTGATGGACGTACATGCTTGTTACAGGTGAGAGTTTCTTCCCCTGGTTTCTTTCTTTGTTTTTGCTGAAGCTGTGTTTGTTTGTGCAGAACGATCATGATCCGTCGCGACTGATAGCGGAGACCCCGTGCAAGCTAATGCGCTTTCTAGTGGCTGACGGTAGCCATGTTGACACCGACACACCCTATGCCGAGGTGGAAGTTATGAAAATGTGCATGCCTCTTCTTTCACCGGCTTCCGGCACAATCCACTTCAAGCATTTGGAAGCACAAGCAATGGTGGTACGTGCTACCGTCGGTTTAGTGTTTGTTATCTTGCTTTGTGTGGTTCTGTCCGTGCAGGCCGGCGATTTGATTGCGGTGCTCGACTTGGATGATCCTTCTGCTGTGAGAAAAGCAGTTCCATTTTCGGAAGGATTTCCGGCACTTGGAACTCCAATACCGGTCCCTGGAAAGGTTCATCATCGCTGTGCCTTGATCATTAATGCCTCGAACATGATACTCGCCGGTTACGAACACAACGTGGACGAGGTAAGCTGATCAGTACTTAGTCCATTTGGCTTAAGCTTTACGAGACTTTTTTGTGTGGGTTGTAGGTTGTGCAGACTCTTCTCAGTTGCTTGGACGATCCTCAGCTGCCCGTTCTTCAGTGGCAAGAATGCATTGCAGTACTCGCAAGCCGAATCCCGACCAACTTGAAAGCTCGGGTACAGTGTGGGTTTTTCATTTGAACGAGCACGCAGCTTACTGTGTTCTACACAGCTGGATCTGAAGCTGAAAGAGTACGAAGCCTCGTCTGGTAGCGAGCGAGGAGCTGCAGACTTTCCTGCCAAGGGAGTGCGGGAAGTTTTAGAGGTGAGTTCTTACGTTGTTTTTTTACGAAAGCCACCCTTCTTTGTAGGAATTCCTTGCCTCCGCAACCGATCAAGACAGGGCGACACAAGAAAGGCTTGTG